GTATAAGTACCACTGAACTCTGTGTTTGTAACGATGACTGAGGAGAGTCGATATCTTTCTAGGGCGCGTCGTTTCTCGTACGTTACAGACGACCTCATCTTCATTTTCATAGCGTGGACTCTGTCCGGATTTAGTATCTGTGCGGTCCACATTGGCCTTCATTGTTCGCCTATTCGGGAAAATAGGCGTCCCTGATTTCCTGCTGAGCTCAAGAACAGTACACTCACTTCACCTTTGTTCGACACCCCCACTGTGTCCATGTCTGCCCGCCGCCGCTCAAATAATCCCGCAGCTTCTGCCAAAAAGCGCTCCAGATCAGACGACGACGACAATACTCCAAGGAAACGCGTCAAGAAAACCAAGAAGACCGGTAAATTGGGGTTCCTCAAGGAGGCTCCGCTTGATGTTGTATTGGCGGTGCGTTCGCAAAGTTCATTCCTCATTCACGAATCTGAATTGTCCGCTAGATCTTCTCATATGTGGAACCGCTGGATCTCCTGCGCTTGAGTCGGACAACGAAAGACTTGCGCGCGTTGCTGATGAGTAGGGAGTCGTCGAGTGGGGTGTGGAAGAGCGCCCGACTGGGGATGGAGCCGGGGCTTCCCCCGATTATTGAGGGTATGAGTGAGCCGCGGTATGCGAGTTTGATGTTTGATGCGCATTGCCATGTACGTTCTCGCTCGCGACTTTGAATATCCAGGCTCTTACTGTGAATCTGATTGTTTTTAGAGTTGCTTGAAGACGCCGACGAAGTGTATTATGTGGGAATTGCGCATGAGGCTCTGCAAGGCGTGTTTTGAGAAGGGGGATATGTACGTGTTCTCTTTTCTTTTTCTCTTGCAAATAAAATCTCAAAGTTCATTTAATGCAGCATGGCAAGCGAGTCGGAGCTTATTGGAAAGGTTAAAGGCCGGGAACGTGCATGGATGTTGTACTATCTCCTTCCGCAGTTTAAGTATGGCGGTAAGGCGCGAGTTGACTCAAACGTATTGGTAGCTGGCAGCACGCGAGTTCATCGGGTGTCCCACGAGAGACTTGCACGGGAAAGCGCCGGGATGGGCTATGGAACAGACGAATATGAGACGTGGGTCGAGAGGACAATGGAAGAGAAGAGAGTTTTGTCGACTGTGAGTGCTTTCGTCGTGCCTGTGCTAGGATGGATGCTCACCCGTGTTTAATTGAAGTCTTGTAAACCATACGAGGAGTGGGTGACCGAGAAGCGTGAGGCGCGAGCGGCGGAGCTGGTTTCTCTTCGCCGTCGACGGTTTGAAAGGTATTGTTTGTGTAATTTCGAGTCCGATGTGAGTTGACGTTGGTATAGCATCGTTACGCGGTTGAAAGCAGACGGATGGGAAGACGAGTTGGAAATGGGGCTCATGAAGTACTAAGAGCTCATAAGTTGGTCAATCAACCTAAAGAGCTGACTGATCGAGGTACGTGTCGAGCTACTACTGTTATCTTCGTTTTGTTGACGCTTTGGAAAATAGGTTGGGAGACGATTAAATCGAGACTTGCGGAGTTTTTGAGCGAATTTGGGAGAGTAGATGTAGATGCTGCTGTTTCGGTGACGTGCGTTTGATGTGGGGGTGAAGATTCAGATAGGTAAGGTTGATGCTGAGTGGCATAACGTTCCTCGTCCTTGGTCATGTACCAAATATAGGTTCTCCCTAGAAAGCGACCGTCGTTACTTCTCAAGTTTCATTGGCATGGCTTCTGGGCCACACTGCTTGAATTCCCCCACCGCTGAGTCAATTCCAAGACCGAGATAGCATTTAAAGGCGTTAAGAACACATTACGATGATCTTCTCCGCATTTGACACGGTCTTCTTTCATGCAGTAGCCTTACTTGATTGACATCTGTTCCGCGAGGATGCCATCGACACGATATGGGCAAAATCTCATCACCAAGCGATACACATGACCCATGCATCTATTACACATGCTGAAAAAATGGAAACAAAATACACCCACGTCTGCATTAGGACGGAATCGAACGTTACCGAGTCGATTGAATACTGAATGGCCACATCTTCCACCACTACTCCATCAATGCACACAACATCTCCGAGTTTTCCACTGTAAGGCTTCCATGTGAAGCGCTGAACACTGCTTTAAGTTTTATACGGCGATATTTTCGGCGCTCCAAGTAATCATGCTTACGCGCGCGATCTGACATACGTCACGGCTCTTTCATTTCCCCTGTTCACCCGTATCTAACAGCTTTGCCTTTCTCTCTCCTACCACGAAACGACCGTCCTATTTGGCCACTACGGAACTGCACTTGGATAATACGCGACGGACGACGAGTACCGTACATACTCGCAAGATACAGCACTAGGACGACAAGCCGACCACCGAAATCATGTCCACATCTACGAAGCCAACGTCTGCACAGCTTCTCATAAGCGCCACGCGCGGCTTCGACCAGCTTTTTGCCAACGATATCCCAGGCGCACGGCGCACATTCGAGCGCCCCGTTATAATCGCTCCTGGTAATAGTGGAACCGATGCAGACGCTGGTACGTCTACCGCCCGCTTGGTTATGTCCACTCCTAACATTGCTTTCTGTAGAGGTGGCGGATTCACCATTTCACCAGCTCGGATTGGGCGTGGCAGTGTTCCTGGAAGCCGCTCTAGGATTGGAACGTGAAAGGATGGAGGATGCGGCGCGGGTGTTGAACGAGGCTGTGACCTCGACTGCGGCAGCGAAGAAAGCGGCGACGGGCGGTGGCGGTTCTTGGCTGGTGGCAGCTCCGCAAAAGGTCAGCTGTTTACCGCTGGTAGATGTTTCGTATTGCTTACATTCCATTTTAGGTCCTGATGGAGGCTTGGAATACGAGATTTTGAATGCCGACGCGGTCGTCCTCGCTGGTCTTGTAAACGCGTTGAACGAGAGCTACATGGGATATCTACAGTGTATCTATGCATTGAATAGGTATGCTCATGTTTATTCGTTCGTGTCAAAAGCTAATGACGTCCAGTGCCCACTCCAAATTTACGAAATTATACAAGGAGGTGTTCCCAGATGGTTTGGACGGATATCGTACGCCGTCGGTGTCTAGAAAGGGCTCGGGGGAGTCGCTAGCTACCTCGGTCGCCACGTCCGCTTCCTCCACCACGTCGTCGACTGGGACCGAGACTGCATCTGGATCTGCGGGGCCGAAGAGCAAGGAGAAGAAGAGCACCGGCATGTTTGGCAAGTGGACGGGAGGTTCGTCGTTGGCTGTCCCGGTGCCCAACAAGTCGCGGCCTGCCAGCACCATACCGATTAAAGGTGAAGGAGGAGAGGCGGTAGAAGATATGATCCTCGCTGGAACGGCGTTTGGATTTGGACTGTTCAATTTAGTGTTCTCGCTGCTACCTAAAAGGGTTCAGTAGGTGTTTTTGGTTTGCTAGTTTTCATTTGCTAATGCTTGAACAGATCTGTGGTAGGTTTTTTCGGGTTTAAACATGACCGTGCGTTGGCGCTTAGAGCACTGGCAGTGTCCGCTGCGAAGAGCGACGTGGTAAGTGATTTGTTGCGGTTATATGCCCATCTCACACGCACCCAGCACTCGGTATTTGCGGGACTGGTGCTCATGACTTATTATGGGGTCGTATTACTCCTCAGTGGGTGGCAATGCGATGAAGCTCATATCGTCCGGCAGTATAGGTGTGTAACGTCTTCCATCTAGACGGCTCTCTGCTATTACTCGTTATATTCGCTAACACGCTTACTAGAGCAATCGTAGACAAGGTGGAAGGTCGGTATCCGACGGGAACATTATGGGTGCTCAACAGGGCGAAGATACTGAGGATGGAGGGGCATTCCAGCCAGGCGGTAGGCGTCTTAGTCGGAGGATTGGGTGGCGTCGATGGTGGTGTGGGCAAGGTACTGGCGCCACCACTGGGAGGAGACACGGCCGCAGAGAAGTCAAGCGTTGAGGCGAAGGCAGACTCTGAAGGTGCGGAGACGGAGAAGGCGCCACTTCAACCTGTAACGCGATGGCGACAAGCCGACACATTGCTCGCTTTGAGCTGGCGTGGACACTGCTGGGTGACCGGCGATATGAGGAGGCGGCGGGGTGGTTCGTACGGATGACGGAGTTGAATGGCTGGAGCCACGCGACATATTATTTCATCGCCTGTGGATGTTGGAGTGTGCTGGCAAATTCTCGCGATGCTTGCGAGGAGGAACAGCGAACAGAATATAGGACGAAGGCTAGAGGGCTTTGGGACGCACTTCCGAGCCTGTTAGAGCGAAATGGGCGCAAGGTTGGCGGCAAAGAGCTGCCTGTGGAGGTGCTTATTCGAAAAAAGCGTGAGCTTTCATGTTGCTCTGACATTCACTTCTGATATCTTGCAGTATCCTTTTATGCTGCTAAATCCGCGCGATTGAACGCGGACGTGATTTCATGTATGGCGATCTCTCCTGCAGAGGAGATGGCTGTATTTTGGAATACACACTCTCGGATAAGTCGAGAGGTGGCGGAGGGACATGTGAAGGAGTGGGCGAGTTTAGAGCCGCAGGTCGCGGTGGCAGGGTTCGAGGCGGCGACTTCCCGTGGCCCGATTCTAGATACGGCAGAAGAGCGCGCGATACGGGCGCTGCTGTTGGGCATCGTACTCCGCACCTTAGGCGCGTACGGCGCCTCTCGCCCCTTCTTTAAGGAAGCACAGCGGGAGGGTGGTGAGGTGAAAGACGGGTGGGTGCCGGGTGTAGCTATGTTTGAGGAGGCGGTGGGTATATTGAAGGAGAAGGATGCGGCTGGGGGTGAAGGGGAAGGGTGGGGGACGACGTTGAAAGAGGTGGGTGTGTTGTTGGATGCGGCGATGGCTGCGAGTCCGGGGTCTGTGGATTTGAGCTCGAGGTTGGATTCGCGGGTGGCTATGTTGAGAGACGAGGTGAGGGCGAAGGCGGTGGCGGAGGGTGTGAAGTTGCAGTAGTGGTACAACTTGGATTAGACGTTCGGGCAATGAATATATCACATACTATAGCTCTGTCCGTGTAAGAAGAGTAAGCATTAATGGGGTAGTGGTAACCTGGGTCGTTGCCATGTGCAATGTTGGTCGACCCGCCGGGGGTTCGATTCCCCCTTAATGCATTTGGGAGACGAGTAGATGTTTTTCGTATTCCGTTTTGCGATTTCTGCTATCTGATTACAATGGTGTTCGTTTGGGTGCTCGTTGCTCGTTATCTGTCTGCGATCTGACAGAATTCCTGAATGTGGCGCAATCCTTTTCCCCCGAATTTTTTTTCCGGGGAAATGTAAGAACCTCTTGTCTTGATACATTGTGGACTCACGGCTACATGTTCTTCTCAGACAAGCGACAGATGCCCATCAAGACAGACGAATTTGAATATTTACTGGCAGAAGGCTCGTCGAGTGATGCTCCTATTTTAGAGGCTGAGGCGACTTGAAACGCCGGCCCCTATGATAACTGTAGTGTGCACGTCGCGCCGCGACCGATTGCTTCCCGAATACCAGCGCCACGCGAAGATACATGACAGCTACTCCGCTTGGACATGACGTGTTAATGACTAGTCCTAGTTCCATTTGTAAACGTCTCAAATGAACTGCGGGCATTCAGCATTCTTTTATTGCTATCTGGTTCGTTCAGCAAGATAAGCAACGTGCGTCGGAGAATAATGCTCAAGCTCAGCAGCGTAGTTGACGCTGTATCTAGGATGTGATGATAAATCTATAAACGATGCGGGAAAAGTGCTAAAAGGACAACATAGGACAAGTGAGGACGGTAGTAGTACAAGGTCATGATCATAAAAAGGAAAAAAAAAATCTAACAAGACACGGTAAACTTAAGCTTATCGCCCTCAACCTCGCACTTGACCGAGGTCATATTCTCGACGAGAAAGTGCGCGCCGCAGTTTTCAATCTTCGAGCGCTCGTGCGATGTGCACAGCGCAATCACCGTAGCACCACTAGCGACGCCCGCGCGGATACCAGAAGGCGAATCCTCAAACACCACACACTTGCTCGCGTCGTAGCCAAGGCACTTGGCGGCGAGGAGGAATGGGTCGGGAGCAGGCTTGCCGGCCTTGAGACGCTTGTCGTCGGCGGTGATGGTGACAGGCGGGGGAGTAATGCCAACGCGCGTCATGCAACCGTAAGCTGTGCGAATAATGAGCGAGGCGGAATACAATAACGACGAAAGACTAACCATAGGTTTTAGCACCAGAGTCGCCACGGCGTAGCGGCCAGCTGGGATGGAATCCATCATGCGCTTCACGCCGGGGAGGATGCGCACGGAGCGGTCCACGCCTGCGGCCTCGATCTGCCAAGCTTCGAGCTCGTGCTTGAGCGCCTTGGGGTTGAACTCGTTGCGGACCAGCTCGCTGTTCACGCCGTCGACGCTTCGTCAAAAGTAGACTCGTACACCTGGCTTCGGGCATGGCCGACATTCTGAGCATACTGCCCAGCCGTGTCCCGAAGGATGGGCGCCGAACTTGGTCGGCGCGAAGGACGAGGCACGGGATGAAGCTACGGAGGAGCCGGGAGTGAGAGCTGGGGTGGCAGAGCCCGAGGAGAGCGGGGTGTTTTCGAAGGGGGAGGTGGTGGTCGAGTTACGGCGCGAGCCCGGGCCATGGACGTTGTACGCGTCGGCAAAGTAGAGGATGGATTCCTCGAACTTGGTCACCTCGTCGTCCATTTCGTGTTCTTTAATGTGGGGCTTGAACTCGGCGAGGTTATCGACAGCGCGCTTGCCGTGGGTAGCGGCGATGACATGGTGAGGGTCCTGTCCAATGTCCTTGGCGACCTTTCCCCAGGCAGCCTCGACGGCTTGGATAGAGTCGGTTAAAGTGCCGTCCTAGAAACACACTAGGGGAGTTAGATTTGGCAGCCTGGGGGAGCAATCTACACACCATGTCAAAGAGAACGGCATCGGCGTAGAAAGTTTGGGAAGACGACATGATTGCGAGTAAAGCGCGTCAAATGTGAGTATAGTTGGATAGTTGTCGTCAATGAGAAAGGCTGGTGGGTTTGTGGTCTATACCTCTTCAACGCCAACCTCTTTATACGAATGAAAGGTTGGCGAATAGGGGAAAGTGACGTCAAGGGGGAGATATGCAATGTCCTGCCTATTCCAGCAGAGGCAACGAATTACCAGAGACATAGCCACCCGATTGGTATCGCTCAGTGGAGAATTTCCACTCTGCCACTCCACGTACACCGATCAGAAAAAAAGCCTTTCGGAAGAACGATCAATCTTGCTCCATATCGCACAATTCGAAGGCCAAACGGGAGATGATGATGATGATAGACAGACAATCCGTACTCGTAGGAGGACCGGCCATACCAGAACAGCAGCCAACCGCACATCGAGGATTTTCGTGTGTGTTGGCAAGACGAAACTTGAACGTTTGAACCTGGTTTGAACTTGTTTACAGCAACCGATCACACTGCCTTTTCGGTATCGTTCGGTCGCTCGGGCCTTACATCCACTTTGCACGTGGCGCTCCTCTGCCAACGCTTGGTTCCTGAGGCAAACGATCATCTTCCGCGCGCCTCCCGCTCCCGTCGCCGCCTCTGCCTCCTATCCTTCCCTTATCTTGCTTGTCTAGACTTTCTTCTTTCATATGGGCGCAGCACTTTCGAGCCAAGGTGGAGTGCTATGACGTGTAATTATTCTGCGCCCTTCGTATGCATATCTCCATCTTCTCAAAAGCTTTCCTGACAGTGGCGCCTATTTACGTATGGGACGACGGTATACTATCGATGACTTTCCCAATTCGGCGTTGATGTGCAGTGTTTCCTGATCCTCGCACGTATGGGACAATGAACCAGGGCAGAACGTGGAGCTTTGTGTATGATTCGGTGCTCTTCGATTCTTTGTGCGTCAAGCGCCTTATTCTGCGCTCTTTCCTTATTCTGGGTATTCTGCGCTCGAGATGCTTGGCATTCATTTGTATTTTTGGAAACAACTACCTGCCAGTCCTCGGCAGAATTTGCTATTGCGATTGGTTTCCACAGACGCTTTGCGAATTCGATTGCGGAGTGGTATCCTTCTCTCGTTTCTCAAACGTGCATGGTCTAGTTATTCTTGGTTAATTGCTTCATCTCCGCCTATATTCTCTTTTCTTTGTACGTGCAAACTCACGTACATTGCCACCTCGTTCTGCCTCTCGTAACGATTCACGGTGAAGAGACAAATTCACATGTTTCGGTATTCGGTCCAGACTTTCAAGAGGAACAAACAAAACAGTGCTGTCATCAGTACTGGTATGTCACTCGCGCTTCGCGGAGATGTGATGGTTCCGTGTCAATCTTTCTTTCTCTTTCCAAATGCGTTTCTCTTCCCTCCCGTTTGCGCTCGCTTTCCCTGCTTGTGTGTTGGCGGCTATTCCTTCATGCAGCTTCTTGCTCCAAGCTGGGGAGCAGCGGGGAATTGCTTATGTTCACGGGTTGGAGAACAAAGGATGGATGTGGGGTATTTCCCCATGCAAGTTGCTCACCCTTGAACGCCAACATACGCGTCAAAGCGGCATTACTCTACGCTTGATCGCATAGCTTTGTACCACCGCCTCGCATTGCAATCTTTTGATCATTGGAAGTACGTGTGCTGTCCTTTACTTTCAAATCACGGCACTGATGCACCGGTTCCCAGCGTTCGGGTTATCGAAAGCTTTCAATCTGTCTTTTCATCGACGTTCCCTCCGGATTGGTAGGTTTAATTTCCGACAAAGGATGTCTTTTCTGATGGTGCGACCTCACCAAATTCGCGTGAGTATATGCAATTTCCCCAACTTGGAGCAGAAGAAAGTAAATGCGTAAAGGTAAGTCCGTCGACGCGCACAGACGAAAGGGACAACGCAGACGAAAATCAGATGTCGGAGCGTGTGAACACCATCAAAAGATGGGAGCAGATAGTACGGCAACACCAAGCTTTCCTCACGTCGCGTATGTATCCTTTCTGTTCTCATTCATCAGAAAGAACAGAATAAACTCCCATTAGTGCCACCACAACGTGGTGATCCTGCGAACAGCGCGAGGCTCGAGTCATTCGCGTTGTCCGCCATTGGCCAGGGATTCGGACAAAGCAAGAGCGCGGTAGGGCTAAGAAGATTCAATAGAGTTCGTGATCCATAGGTTCCTGTAAATACGACGCGCCAAGAATAGAGCACATCACAGACCGTAGGCCATCAACTATCACCGACTCGACGTCGCCTACAATCATACGCCATGGATGATTGGCTGTCGGCGGAATCAATGGCTCTTCATCGGCAAGCGGGTGCGATGCCGGTGAATTGAACTAATGTCGGGCATTCTAACCGTAGGAGAGCTAAGTGGCACGAATATAGACCGGTGGAGTGCATGTAGGTAGAGTGTCTGCGGGATAGCGCCTAAATGACAGACAAGGGTGCGTTAAGAATAGATTGTACTATCTCTGAAGAGAATCTCGATTCCAGAAACATGTACTTATCATGGGAAGTTGAGCAGGCGGCGCCGATAGACTATCCAGCGTTTCGTACCCAGAGAAGATCACTGGTAGCCTTACTTGCACATTGAACGTCTTATCGACGATGATATCGGCACATTCGGGAAGCACGCCCTCGCCGGGAATGCAGTGCACAGTCTACAGAACATTAAGACAACTGAGTTACCTTCCGGCCATGACCATTGACCGACTTCATAGCGACGGGGTCCAAGAGATAACCAGTCCAGGAAATTGCCGGTGCCAACCTAGTAGAGGAGACAGGTTGACTCGAGCAATTCTCAAGGAACGTCAGGTTGTCAGCACGATTCACCATGCAGATTATTATCAGTCGCGCAATGATGGTTAGCAAAGTAACCATCCGTCGACGCAAATATGATCTCCCTCTAAACTCATCACACACTCGGTATTTCGGAAGTCGGTACTCTATGTACTCGATATTTTCCTACACGCAAGGCGAAGAACAACGATTGGAGGCATGTGGTCCTGTCTGTAGACAATTAGGGATGTGCGCCGTACCGTATGTACGGTGCATACGGTACGGCATACGGGTTACGGTACCCGTACCGTGAGCAATCTTGGAGTCAACGGATCGGTCATACGGCCGTGATACGGTCACTCACCTGGTGGGGTCAGATCGTCTTCAAATCGC